GGTGTAAACATAGTCGAAGTCGAGGTTTTTTGTTCTGCAAGCTGTGTGCGTTATACCCGCTTGGGAGTCGTCTCATATGGGCATCGGGAACTCGTCTGCTTCAATAGTATCCATGTGAGATGATAGGATAGAGATATATAGTGTGTACGACGATGAAGTCGTTGTATCCCCATTTGCTTATTGCACTCGTTATATACCCTTCAAAGTCGTCTCATACGGTCACTGTCATCGTATCTGCCTCAACTGTATGCATGTCAGATGCTGGACTGCAGAGTTACAGTGTAAACATAGTCAAAGTCAGAGTTTCTTGTTCTGCAAGCTGTGTGAGTTTTACCCGCTTGGGAGTCGTCTTTTATGGTCAATGCAAACTTATCTACTTGATAGTGTCAAGAAAAGATGTTAGGATAGAGAGATATAGTGTGCACATCGATGGAGTCGATGTATCTTCATTTGCCTATTGTACTCGTTATATACTCTTCAATGTCGTCTTATTCGTTCACTGCAATCGTATATGCTTCAATTGTATGCATGCCAGATGTTAAACTGCAGAGTTACAATGTGAACATAGTCGAAGTCGAAGTTTCTTGTTGTGCAAGTTGTGTGCGTTATACCCGCTTGAAAGTCCTCTCATATGGGCATCTGGAACGTCTGCTTCAATAGTATCCATGTGAGATGATAGGATAGAGATATATAGTGTGTACGACGATGAAGTCGTTGTGTACCCATTTGCCTATTGTACTCATTATATTTCTTTCAAATTCGTCTTATACGATCACTGTCATCGTATCTGCTTCAACTGTATGCATGTCAGTTGCTGGACTGCAGAGTTACAGTGTAAACATAGTCAAAGTCGGAGTTTCTTGTTCTGCAAGCTGTGTGAGTAATACCCACTTGAGAGTCGTCTTATATGGTCAATGTGCACAAGGATGAAGTCGATGTATCTTCATTTGCCTTTTGTACTCATTATATACCCTTCAAAGTCGTCTCATACGGTCACTGCATCCGTATCTGCTCCAACTGTATGCATGTCAAAGGCTAGACTGCAGAGTTACTGTGTAAACATACCCGAAGTCGAAATTTCTTGTTATGCACGCTCTGTGCGTTATATCCGTTTGGAAGTCGTCTTATATGGTCAATGCAAACTTGTCTTCTCGAATAGTGTCAATGTAAGATGATAGGATAGGGAGATATAGTGTGCACAAGAATGAAGTCGATGTATCTTCTCTTGCCTATTGTACTCGTTATATACCCTTCAAAGTCGTCTTATACGGTCACTGCAATCGTATCTGCTTCAACTGTATGCATGTCACATGCAAGACTGCGATGTTACAGTGTAAACATAGTCGAAGTCGAAGTTTCTCGTACTGCAAATCGTGTGCGTTATACCCGCATGAAAAGCTGCTCATATAGTCAATGCAAACTGGTCGGCTTCAATAGTGTTCATATGAGGAGATAGGATAGAGATATATATTGTGTACGACGATGAAGTCGTTGTTTACTCATTTGCCTATTGTACTCATTATATTATCTTCAAATTCGTCTTATACGGTCACTGTCATCGTATCTGCTTCAACTGTATGCATGCCAGTTGCTGGACTGCAGAGTTACAGTGTAAACATAGTCAAAGTCGGAGTTTCTTGTTCTGCAAGCTGTGTGAACTATACCCACTTGAGAGTCGTCTTATATGGTCAATGTGCACAAGGATGAAGTCGATGTATCTTCATTTGCCTATTGTACTCGTTATATACCCTCCAAAGTCGTCTTATACGGTCACTGCATCCGTATCTGCTTCAACTGTATGCATGTCAGAGGCTAGACTGCAGAGTTACTGTGTAAACATACCCAAAGTCGAAATTTCTGTTTTGCAAGCTCTGTGCGTTATATCCGTTTGGGAGTCGTCTTATATGGTCAATGCAAACTTGTCTGCTTGAATAGTGTCAATGTAAGATGATAGGATAGAGAGATATAGTGTGCACAAGGATGAAGTCGATGTATCTTCATTTGCCTATTGTACTCGTTATATACCCTTCGACGTCGTCTTATACGGTCACTACAATCGTATCTGCTTCAACTGTATGCATGTCACATGTTTGACTGCGAAGTTACAGTGTAAACATAGTCGAAGTCGAAGTTTCTCGTACTGCAAATCGTGTGCGTTATACCCGCATGAAAGTCGGCTCATATGGTCAATGCAAACTTGTCTGCTTCCATAGTGTTTATATGAGGTGATAGGATAGAGAGATATAGTATATTGTGTACGACGATGAAATCGATGTATCCCCATTTGCCTATTGTACTCGATATATACCCTTCGAAGTCGTCTTATACGGTGACAGCCATCGTATCTGCTTAAATTGTATGCATGCCAGATGTTATACTGCAGAGTTACAGTGAAAACATAGTCGAAGTCGAGGTTTCTTGTTCTGCAAGCTGTGTGCGTATTACCTGCTTGGGAGTCGTCTCATATGGTCATTGCGAACTTGTCTGCTTCAATAGTGTCTATGTAAGATGATAGGATAAAGAGATATAGTGTGCACAACGATGAAGTCGATGTATCTTCTCTCGCCTATTGAACCCGTTATAATCCGTTCAAAGTAGTCTCATACGGTCACTGCAATCGTTGCTGCATCAACTGTATGCATGTCAGATGATAGACTGCAGAGTGACAGTGTGAACATAGTCGAAGTCGAAGTTACTTGTTCTGCAAGTTGTGTGCGTTATTCCCGCTTAGAAGTCGTCACATATGGGCATTGCGCACTCGTCTGCTTCAATAGTATCCATGTGAGATGATGGGATAGAGAGATAGAGTGTGCACTTTGATGAAGTCGATGTATCTTCATTTGACTATTGAACTCGTCATATACGTTTCGGAGTCGTCTCAAACAGTCACTGTCATCGTATACGGTCACTGTCATCGTATCTGCTTCAACTGTATGCATGCCAGTTGCTGGACGGCAGAGTTACAGTGTGAACATAGTCAAAGTCGAAGTTTCTTGTTCTGCAAGCTGTGTGCGTTATACCTGCCTGAAAGTCGTCTTATATGGTCAATGCGAACTTGTCTGCTTCAATAGTGTCCATGTGAGATGATAGGATAGAGAGATATAGTGTGTACGACGATGAAGTCGATTTATCCCGATTTGCCTCTTGTATTCGCTATATATCCTTCGAAGTCGTTTTATATGGCCATTGGAATCGTATCTGCGTCAACTGTATACATGTCAGATGCTAGACTGCAGAGTTACAGTGTAAACAATGTCGAAGTCGGAGTTTCTTGTTCTGCAAGCTGGGTGCGTTATACCCTCTTGGAAGCCGTCTTGTATGGTCATTGCGAGCTTTTCTGCTTAAATAGTGTCCATGTGAGATGATAGGATAGAGATACATAGTGTGTAAGACGATGATATCGATGTATTCCCATTTGCCTATTCTACTCGTAATATACCCTTCGAAAACGTCCTATACGGTCACTGCTATCGTATCAGCTTCAGATGTATGCATCTCAGATGCTAGACTGCAGAGTTACAGTGTAAACATACTCAAAGTCGAAATTTCTCATTTCAAAAGCTGTGTGCGTTATACCTGCTTGGGAGTCGTCCTATATGGTCAATGCAAACTTGTCTTCTAGATAGTGTCGAGGTAAGATGTGAGGATAGAGAGATATAGTGTGCACAATGATGAAGTCGATGTATCTTCATTTGCCTATTGTAATCGTTATATACCCTTCAATGTCGTCTTATACGTTCACTGCAATCGTATATGCTTCAACTGTATGCATGCCAGATGTTATACTGCAGAGTTACGGTGTAAACATAGTCGAAGTCCAGGTTCATTGTTCTGCAAGCTGTGTGCGTTATACCCGCTTGGAAGTCGTCTCATATGGGCATCGAGAACTCGTCTGCTTCAATAGTATCCATGTGAGATGATAGGATAGAGATATATAGTGTGTACGACGATGAGTCGTTGTATCCCCATTTGCCTATTGTACTCGTTATATACCCTCCAAAGTCGTCTCATACGGTCACTGTCATCGTATCTGCTCCAACCGTATGCATGCCAATTACTGGACTGCAGAGTTACTGTGTGAACATAGTCAAAGTCGGAGTTTCTTGTTCTGCGAGCTGTGTTAGTTATACCCGCTTGGGAGTCGTCTATATGATCAATGCAAACTTGTCTACTTGATAGTGTCGAGGTAAGATGTTACGATAGAGAGATATAGTGTGCACAACGATGGCGTCGGTAACTTTTTTTTTATCGATTGGAGCGCACGAAAGTGAATCCCTATAATGTTCAAGTAACATCGTGCGTTCCTAATGAAGAATAGGGACAGGAGGTAGGAATTGGAATTTCTTTTTAACTTTTGGAGATTATATATTATTTGCCTATTGTACTCGTTATATATTCTTCAATGTCGTCTTATACGTTCACTGCAATCGTATATGCTTGAACTGTATGCATGCCAGATGTTATACTGCAGAGTTACAGTGTGAACATAGTCGAAGTCGAAGTATTTAGTTGTGCAAGTTGAGTGCGTTATACCCGCTTGGGAGTCGTCTCATATGGGCATCAGAAACGTCTGCTTCAATGTATCCATGTGCCTGGGGCTTGGGTGGCTACCAGGAGCGTCGGCAGGTGACGGATAGCCGGACTACCTGCAGCGCAGACTGTGCAACCACAGGCACGCTGCAGGCCACCACCGAATAAACAATAAGGTGGCGCTGAGCAACCCTCCAATTCAAGGTGTTACGCGATCCGTGGCGGTGGGAGAGCACCGTCTCGAACGGAGCCTCGAGGATACCTGGCGACCTCCTCGAGTACCAGCCTTGCCACGCCGTGCGGGGCTCCGGCGTGGTCGACTGCCAGTTCCCTAGCTATTCGTGGGACCAACATGAAGAAGGATTATAATAAAAAAAAGGGAAGATAGAGCGGGATGTGACCGCAACCCAAGACGCTCAACCGCGTCCTGGCACCTCTCATGCACCGAGCTCACCTCAGGACACAGAGAGGGAGAAACAGAAGAAAGAGGGAGAACCAGCGGAGCAAGCATCCGACAAGGGTTCCTCCTCCAGAAAATCCTTCGTGAACCGGAGGAGACAAATGCCGCTGCCACCTCCAGGCAAGCCCGGAGGCATCGACGATCCGCTGAGAAGGGGCCTCAGCGGGACAGGAGTAAGATGGTACCTTCGCTTCCTCGAACAGGGCTTGACACCTGAGGAAGCAAGAAGGGAAGCTGTCGGAAGGAAGAAACCCCAGGAGTTGCCACCTCAACAAACGGAGAAGAGGGGGCCTAAAACTCAAACGCCCCCTCAACGTCCAAATACGAAGAGGAGGAGAACTGAAGCGGGAAGTAGCACCGCCACTGCTAAGCAAACTGGGCAAACCACCAGCTGTGCTGAGGCAGTCAGCACAATAAAAATAGCAATCCTCCCAAAAAACTACCCGGAGGAGACGCTGGGTGCGGAGCAGCTTACAGCACTGGAGGACGCAATCGTGCAGGAGATGATACTGGGCGCGGAATGCAAACTCCAATTCGGGGGAATTCACTTCCGCCCCAGTATGCTCGTGGTAGACTGCGTCAACCAGGAAACGGCGGACTGGATGAGGGCAAAGGCCCCCAGTTTGAGCACCTGGGAAGGTTCAGAGCTGATGGTGTGCCTGGGAGACGACATCCCAAGGGTGCACACCATCACAGTGTTCTTTCCCAGGAGCACGGACCTCGAACCAGAGAAGTTGCTCACCCTAGTGAGCACACAGAATAGGGGGCTCCGAACCCAGCTGTGGAAAACACTAGGAAGCAAGAAGGAGGGCAACGGCCAGCTTCTTAACCTTGGAATAGACGACGAGTCCTGCGAGGCCATCAAGAATATGGGCTACACCATATTCTACAGGTTCGGGAAAATCCCCGTTCATGGCCTTCGCAAGGACTCGAGTGAGAAGAAGAAGGTAGAAGAGGGAAGCAAGACACCATCAGCTACCACTGCCACAGAAACTACTGTGGCCAGCGAAGCCGAATCGACTGGGAGTATGAATCAGGATACCACGGTCACTCCCAGCGAAGAAGAGCTAATGCTGCTGGATGATGAGGAGGCAAGCACTCCAACACACTAGCAGCAATGGCTAACACAGCACCAGTCAGGTTTGCCAAGGTGAATACTCACCACGCTAGGGGGGCATCAGCCGCCTTATCGAGGGTGTTCACCGGGGCACACTTGGGAGTTGTGTTGATCCAAGAACCTTGGGTCAACAGAGGGCAGATCAAAGGACTGCCGAATAAAGAAGGTAAGGTTATCTGGGATGTCAGGCATGACAACCCTAGAGCTTGCATACTAATCAGAAATGACATTAATTATGCTTGTCTTTCAGAATTTATGACGAGGGACTTAGTGCCTGTACGGGCCAAGATCCACACAGGGCACTTACACCTCGACATAGTAATAGCCTCAGGTTACTTTGCTGGAGATGGGCAAGCACCACCAGAAGAGGTACAGAGGCTATCCGACTACTGCAGCAGGAGCAAACTACCCCTCCTGCTGGGCTGCGATGCCAATGCCCAAAACACCATCTGGGGAAGTACGGACACCAATCAAAGAGGTGAGCAATTGCTAGAATTCATACTTGCGGCTAACTCAAGTATACTGAATGTGGGGTCTACCCCCACCTTTGTAACTAGGGCTAGACAAGGAGTATTAAATATAACGCTCGGCGGTCCGAGCATTAGTAGAAGGGTTAGACATTGGAGGGTCTCAGACGAACCCTCCCTCTCTGACCACAGAATCATAATGTTCAATGTAGAAGGGCTTGTGACAGAAACCACCTTCATTAGAAATCCTAGAAACACAGACTGGGAAAAATACACCACCAATCTTAAATGTAATTTAGAACAAATCAAGTTCAATGGCAAAAGTCACGTCGAATTTGAGCAGACATTAGAAGCAGTTAATGGGGCAATCATGGATGCATACGAATCCAGCTGCCCTATTAGAGAGAAGAAATCACACAGTGGTACCATTTGGTGGAACGAACACCTGTCAAATCTAAGATCCGAGGTCCGCCGGCTATTCAACAAGGCCAAGCGGGACGGAGATTGGCAGGGTTGCACCGAAAGGCTGACAATTTATAACAAAAAATTAAGGAAAGCTGAGAGAAATACCTTCAGGAACTTTTGTGAGACAATCACTTCAAGTCCACCTGCAGCCAGACTGTACAAGGCCATGGCGCGGGGCAGGGAGCAAGGACCAATGTCTCTCAGAAGATCAGATGGTAGCTATACAGAAGATGAAGAGCAACGAGCTCTCCTTAGTAGATATATATTAGGAATCCTGTTACAGCTTCAATTGATATTAATTGATGTTAATTGATGACCGGGCAAAGTTCATCAGACTAATTTATTTTAATTAACGTAATGATCCATCAGATGAATTAATCAATGGATTCATCAGACTAATTATCTTCAATTGTACGATAATTTTTAAATTGAACACTCCCTTCTACTTTGGCTATAAATACTCTGGTGTAGTCTTGATTTCATTAGTGAACATGCAAGATAGAGACTTATTGGATATAATTATACAAAGTGGTGATTGTCGTGTGGTCGAAACAAAACAGTGTTGCGTTTGCAAAAAAATTATCAATCGAACATATCTATCAAGTGGTTGTTGGTTGAGCAGACCAAAATTGACAATTGAATTGTGCAAACGTCTTTGCAAGCAAACGAGGCCAATAAAAGTCGTCAGATCTTACGCGAAGGATCCTTTACTAGTACTGCTGTCACCCAACCATGAACATTTCTGAAAAAACGGAGAAAATTGAAGAGAACTGGGATAATGATGACTATTCCACTTATGTACCATGTGTAGAAGACAAGGACATCATCAGATCTCCACCAATTGGAAAAGGCAAGAGGGAAAGAAGGAGATTCCGAATGGAAGAAAGAATTCGACATAGTCGAATTGAGAATCTACTAACCCAGAGAGAACAGAATACTTGGGCTGATAATGTTTTCAATGATAAAAATAGATTTTGTGATAAAAAATTTAACTCCGATAAATGAATCGCATATTTTGTCTCTGACATGTTTTCAATAAATACATATAAAAGTACATGATATTTTCAGTTCATCAGAAGTTGTGACCATGATCACACCTCAATGTTTAGTTTTACAAGTGATTCTTCAAGGCTTTCTCTATATCGCACAACCTTATAATATAAGAGAAGTATTCATATGTTTCGATAGTTATGGTACACGAAATGAAAGTTGGCCTTCTAAATGGGTAAGAATGGAATCAGCTACAATAAATAATGTTTCAACTCTCAAATCACTCATACCCACCAATAGCACTATGTACAAGTTGCGATTGCGAAAGGGCAGTGGCTCCACCATTGATTCTGACTGGTGTGAACTAAATCCATCTCCCCCACTACACCATGATACAAATATAATGAAGGATGATGCGGAATTCAGAATAGTCGATTGGGTAACGTACTACACAGCAGTGTGTGCATCATTGTTGCTGTTCAACCTCATTGTTACAACATGTCTAAAGATTGCCCTAACTGTTTATTGACCGAACTCGTAAATAAACACCGAAACCGAAATAAAAAATTGTATGATTTTACCGAAGAAGAGCTCCAGAATTTTCCACTACATTATCTCATTAAAAATGTAGGTCCGATGGAATTTCTTTATGCATGGGACAAACTGCCATCAAAATATACAGAGAATTTCGAACTTCGGATCCAGCTACCATGCTTCGTCCACTTCAATCGCCCTGAATGGAGAGATCATGTAGACGGCCTTCCTCAAGCTGTCATGTTTGTAGATGGGGTCTCGAGCGGTGTGGATAGTATTAATATTTTGTATTGAATAAATGTAATAAAACAAATTCACTCGATAATGATTTTTATTTCATATGTCACAAATATAACATATTATAATCCATAATTACAATATACAAATGGAAATCACATCAAAACTATTGGTCAGAGTCTTTCTCGTCAATCAAATCTTGAGCTATTTCCAAAAACTCATCCAAAGTTCCAGTGATAGCTCCTGGTGTTATAAGCAAATGACCCCAAGCCAAAGTTTTCACATCAGAAGGAATTTTATAGCGCTTATCATCAGCAGATGACAAAGCGACTTTATTTCTTAATTCCGTATGAATGGTGTGGAGAGAAGAAGTGAACATATACATCTTACGTGATATTGTTCCACCATTTTCTACAATATTCAGATAGTCTGAAAACTGAATTTGGTTTTTGACCACGTTTTTTGAGACACCTTTGGCTTTTTTCATCACATCACCTGCTTTTACACAGTATGCTTTCGCACCAGTACCATAGAAAGATTCAATAGGTCTTGCGGCATATTCATCTTTCATGCGTCCTATAACAGATTTCGATTTGGGTATTTGGTGTATATTGTCTATGGGATAATTTGACGTATCGAAAAATTGGATATTTTCTTTCATTTCATTATAGAAATTTTCTGTGAATATTTCTAGAATCAATGAATCCGTATCGGTGTAGCATAATGTTGCTTTATCACCATATTTTGTTTTGATGTATCCATAGAAAAAATCGTAAATGATAGTTTTCGAAATATCCAATACCGAAAATCCAACATACATTGGTTTATCATAACATACACTAGTCTTTTCCAACTGAATTGCAACCAAGTTCTCACTGAATTCTGTACTGCATTTGAAATGTGGTTTGGCTATCAGAGCCCTTGCCCCCAGAGAATTAGTCCTATTTTCCCAGCGTGAGCAAAGTTTCAAGTCAATTCTTTTGTCGACATTTTCCATGGTTTTTCCAAATATTGAATTTATCAATAATTTGAAGAGTTCTCGTTCAAATTCGTTTACTGCGGAATTCCGAAGGTGCGTGTTCAGGTCAATATATGGCCTCAACCACGCCGATTGGGAGAATTCTAAGATTCTATGGATTTTTTTCAGTTTCAAACCATATTTCAAACACTGTTTCAAATTTCGGTAATGAATAATGTATTTGCATTTGTTTCGTAAATTGGGGATCAGTTTGGCACTCTTACTCTTTGGCGGGATCATTTGTTCTGGGCAAAATGGTAAATCGTTGTGATCATGGTGTAGGTTGGCTGGATATTCCAAGTCCACTTCTAAAACGTATCCTTTTGATGAGTCGTCCTCGATCGCATGACAGTCAAAGTTTTCGATATCCTCAGACTCAACCCACTTAAAATCACCTGTTGGAAGATGACTTGCCATACTTGCTCCATATAAATTTGTTGCATCCAAATACATGATGTATGATGTTGGTTTCTGAGAATCGAAGTTTGGTAGGAATTTATTATTGGCCACAGCTCTTCTTTTGCTACATTGTGCCACCCCTCCTCGAATACCCTTCTTGAAAAAATGTATCATATCTATATCAGTCAAGAGCTGAAGTTCAATTTGTGTATAACGTAACATAGCATCCCAGCTCAGTGCAGGTGCTGTCAGATAGTGGGCAGGATCTAGCTTGTATTGTTGCATGCATACTTTTCTGAAATTCTCAAAGACGTCTGCTAGCAGCAGACAATCGGATTTCAAATAAACATCGGCGTAATCTCCCAATGTTTTACATTCGAAGGTATCCCACACATCTATAGCTCTATTATAATCCATGTCTGAAAGTGATTCGCCGGTTAATTCATTATAGAACTTTTCTTTCGGCGGTAGTTGAGTTTCTTCCAATTTTCCCAAGCAGTCCACATAGTTGTAAGGAAAAACTCCTTTTTGTCTTATTAGATCAAATTGTTTGTTATCTTGGAAGTATTTTCGAACCTCGTTACACTGCTGAACCTCCAAATTTTTGCTGAGTTTGTCGAGAGATTTTGGTAAAAATCGAAAGGAGTCTACAAATCTCAACTGGATATATTCATCAAATACTCTTGATAATTTAGATTTATTAACCAATACTGACTTGGAGAATGAAATATACTTTTCTTTAGTTTGGGCTATTACTGATATTCTTTTTCCCTTCTTAGCTTATTTCTTGATGAAAAGATGAGAATCATAAATTGTGAGGTTGTGGAAGAATACTGGAATAGTCTTTGAGGTCTTGTAGTTCAGGTTACAAATAGAATGGGCGGCTGCGCGGAACTTCCCTGTGTAGTGGCAGTGATCGCGAACTTTGATATCAGTTGGCTTGAATGGCTTTTCACAAATATGACACGTGGTGCTATTTTGGAAAGTTTGGTTTTCTATCTCAGTAAGTGGACACATTTCACGAACATCCTTCATGTGATTTGTGTATGAATCTTGAACGGTTTCATCCAACTTTCTCACAAAACCGTCAGCAGCATCTGCACCGCGATAAAGTACCGACCTTGAGTAACGGTCATCAAAATTACATTTTACATAAAACGCGAACGAATATGGTTCATGTTCACATACTTTAACTGAAAATGATTTATCGTCACAGGGTTCATTGTGTTGAATTGGTTTGAGTAAACTTTCAAAGTCAGCATAAATCACAAACGGTGGTGATAATTGTTTCTCAAAGTTAGTGAATTTGAGGATATTTTCAGGCACTGACTCACCATATTTATTGACTTTCAAATTGGTGGTGGGTATCTTTGTGATCGTATGATTACAGTCATTTTCCTCATGACTTCTCAGCTGTGCCAGTGTTGCGAACGATTGAAGGCATCCATCGCAAATATTTATTTTACCATTGTATTTCGATTTTTGTCTCCTAACTAATTTGCCTAAGTCTTTTATTAGGCAATAATGTGTGTTGCCAACCTTATCGGCCACAAGTAGCAAATTCACATGTGTTGCTTGACGACATGATGTAAAATGTAGAGGTCCAATTATTTCACTTATCATCTTTCCATCCTTGAAAGACGATTCAAGACCGAACACATTAACTGAGATATTGTTGAGTCGTTCGAACTTTGGGATAGCCTTCAATTTCATGGGAAAGTCAAGCCCTTAAAAATTCAACAGGTTATTGTAATGTGGATATGATGACGTTCTTATTGGATTACCGTCTGCAGGTAAGATCGCAGCATTGATGGACCATGCGAAGCAGGCTCTATCTTTGTTTTGTATATTCAAAACCGCATGTTTGGATTCTATACCTTTGGGCAGCTTGATGTAGGAAGAGGCCGAAATTGATGAGAATTTATTAATGTTCACATCCAAAAACATTGCATGTTTCAATATCCACCCAGAATCACGTTCTTGAAATTCTGACGCCTTCACAATCATTTCTTCCTTGAAGTCATCATAATCGCATTCAATGTTTGATGATATTGTTAATGTTTTATTTCTGGTATTGAAGGACTTGATATCAGATAGTTCCTTCTCTGGTATGACATACAATCCAAAAAGTTCCAAATTTATCTTCAAGCTGTGATGCGTGTCCAAATATTTGGACAAGATTGCCAGAACTTTTGGTTTCACTTCTTGCAAAAATTCGAGAAGATCGGTGTGGCTTTTGTCACTGGAAAATCGATAGGTGGCTATCCTATTCTTGAGAGCACAACGGAGTTTCACTACCCCATTCCCCAAATCATTTTCAACAGGTTGATCTACTCGTTTTCGTTTTTCAACACCCTGAGTATTATGCTTAGGAAAATAGTTGAACAGTGTGTTGGTCGAAGTAGATGCCTGCTGATCCTCTGCATTATTGTACTTCAAATTTTTGGTCGGCGGTCCATTGACATCTCTATTATTTTTACAATTTTCACGTAAATGCTGAGATAAAGAACTCGTTGAAGGAAATTCGTTGCCACAATATCCGCACTTCATTATCACTGTACTCAAACTATCTGAAGAAGCTTGGGGACTGAGGCTCAAGACTAAACTAGAAGACATCGACCTTAACCCGATTTTATATCATTCAGTAGAGGGGTACGGCATGCGCATCTGCTACCCGCATGTTTTTGCGGATGAGTCATCTATTAACCAGCGAATACATCATACCCGAATTTATCGAAACTAGATGTCTAGACGAGTCTGAAATGGAAATGAAACATCTGGTGCATATCTTTGTGAACACGTCATAACCGCATTCAGAGAGAACATCTGCCACCTGCATTCAGAGATGAATCATTCATCGAAAACATCTGCTACCCACATGTTTGCGAAAACAAACATCTGGTACCCGCATGTGCAAATGCGTCACGACTGCATTGAAGACCAGATGTTCAGACAATTTATTATACAATGAATGGAAGAAAACAAATTTATTTTGATATCATACTTTATTGCATAAAAAATTTTTCATACAAATAAAAAACATTTGTTAATGCACACATACAATTTGAATTCATATGATAAAAACATTTCGGTTCGGACTGTTGTAAAATAGGTTGCTCATCGAATTCCACTACTGGAACAGAAGTGAACCGTCGAATATATTCAGCTTTCTCCTTTCCTTTGATATGTATCAGATCGACTCCATCACTCAGACTTTTCAAGATATTTCCGAACTGATGTAATGGGGTAAATCCATCCTTCCATTCCAGGCAGTGAAAATTATGAACCAGCCAATTAGCCTGCTTTTGTAGATTCGGAGGTAGAAAATTCAGTGGAAATGGTGGTTTGAAAATATAATGGCAAATTTTCACCCCATCGAAGGCTGCAAACTCCTTGACAATGAATTTGTTGTTTTCTATCTTGAATCCTTGCACATCCATAATTATACTCATATTGTAATATTTGAGAAATTTTTAAAAACTGATTGCTTGGTAGAGTACAATTCTATCACCCTTTTCAGGATCTTAATGTTTTCTTGATGTTTTCTCAGGCGTAATTTATAGCTGGATAACATTATATCTACTGAATAAAATATAATGGGTCCCCCAATATATGACAAATTCTGATCATGCGCATCAAAGCTGCTTCACGATTTTCGTTAGAGGGTTATAGGAATATTCTTTTTCATGTAGAATGAGACAAAAAGCAGTGGTTTCTTTTGGAGTATTACTACCAGTTTCAAATTCAACCCGCATAACTATTGATCCTGTTTGGATGACTTCTTTCTGTCGTGAACAATCAATGTGAACAATTGGTGCTTCATCTTTGAACTCTTTCGGGGTCAATATTGGCTCGTTATTTTTCAGATGATAGTAGTTTTCTTGAAAATTTGAGTACATCTCATACAGTGTAGCATACTTGTTGTTTTTTAAATCTAGGTGTAAATCATTGTATGGATATCTTTCAGAATTAAGAAACACTCTGATATTGGTGAGGTCGATATGATCAAACTTACTCATATCACTCGTTATTTTTCCTTTTCTACTAGTCTGAAATGCTATAATTACATGTCTAGGGGTTTCGACCTTGGTAGTGGCCTTGACTGGCCACGTATGTCTATTTGATTCACTCAAAGATGGATACTCAATCAACTCCCAGCTCCTGAACCTAATTGGAAGTTCAATACTTTAATTATTATTTTCGTGATTCGAAGTTGTTCTTGAATGCTTGGAGTTATGTGGGGAACTCTCAAAAATACTTTTGTATGCTAGTTACTGCATCTAAATCCTTACTAGATCTGATTAAGACTAATTCTTGCCGCATGTTTACTATTATTCTCCTGAAATCTTCAAAGAACCCAGCAAACATTTTTAAAGGAATACACACGTTGAATTGACCGTTAGTACCAACTAGAATTTTTTCTTGGTTCGATATTTTTGGGAACCACCCAGCATTTTGCATAGAGACGCTTTCGTTTTCATTTAGTGATAAATAATTTTTCAATGTTGATGTCAATCCCAAATTCCTCACTGAATCAATCACAATACCGTTCAGTTCATATCGAAGTTCTCGGAAAAGGAATGCAATTGCATTATTAATGAATTTCAGTTTGGTTGGAACGGCATTTTTATCATCTAGGAGAGTACCTTCTATGTATAAATAACTGTTACAAGGCAAAGTGAATGCTTCAAGGTCAGCAATTGGTACTCTTATCTCGTCGTTATAATTGAGGTTTCCAGCGATGTAAGGCTGATATGTATGAAACTGATAGTCTTCAATTGTAGTGTCGCTGAAAGGTTGACCAGTGATATTCAATAATTCCATTATTTCAAAACTTCAAATCCAAGAGATATCAAAAACTGACGATTTTCTGATGTTAATATTCCGGAGGTCTTCTTCATACTAGTACGTTTCTTTTCATTGTCATGTCTTCTATAGTATTGTTCAGGGGAGTAAAACGGTGTTGGATGGATGAATCTCCACACCATGATCAAAGATCCTTCTTTCGAAGGTGAAGTCGAACGGTGATTTCTTCTTCACGGAAATCTATAATATTTCCTGATTGATCAATAATTTTCACAGTTATATTGTTGATAGTCTCCACTGAAACTGGATAATACAGGATCGTAACAGGTGATTCGATGATCTTGTATCCGGTGGGGACTTTGGCATTGAACTGATGAATTAAATGAACTGGTTCACCATTTAAATAGCTTCCGATGGCCAAGTTACAATCTACACAGATAGTATTGACGTTGAGAATCTTGACCTGGTGGTCCGAAACACTTTTTTCATCCGCATTCAACATTCGTTTTCTGAATCCAAGTAGTGATCCAATTGTGTTGTCCACTCCAAAATTGATTCGACGATTAGTTTTTATAGTCACCTTGGAAGTATTCAAATCAGGTGTAATTCGAAGAACTGCTTGGTTGTCTTTATCATTCATAGCATTTCGAATAACGTTTGCTAGATCATCAATTTCATAGGATCCAGTAGGAATTTCAAATCTATATCTATCGTTCTCACCCCAAACGAAGATATTATTCGTATTATCAATATTTGGTATTGAGTTGAAACTGTCAAAATTAGCTAACTCAATTTCATATTCGTTTTCATCATTCAAATATATTGGAGGATTAAAATCGTAAGTAAGAATCGATGAACATCCACTTAAAGTAAAAGTCAAAGATATATTGTTTCACTGAAAGTTTAATTTCAAATGACGCTCCATTTTACAAATTCTGCTTATATAAAAAAAGTAAACAATGTTGCCCACATTGATATGAATTGAATGATTGTACAGAATCATAATTATACATAATATCATTGTTGCCACCGTCGCTTGAAAAATATTGAATCAGTTCTAAAGGTGGAGATAAATCTCCATAACTATTGAAATAAACTATTTCATTATCGCGCTTAATATAAGCAGTCTAATGTGTTCCTCCACCTACATTCGAATCTAGATTCAAGATTCCAGACTCGTTCTTTCTTATTTTTTCAGGAAGGGTATCTCTCATGAAAATTCCCCTAAAGTATGGTATTTTGAGAATTTTCACATATTTGCGCAAGTCAATATTAGTCAGTGGTCGGCGAGGTAGCTTTATCGGGAGTTTTTTGCGTATGGCTTCAAATACATGCCATAGCCCTTATATGGTCTCAAATATAGCCCTTTTCCAGTAGCTGCCTTCTCCATTTCTCGATTATGTCGCTGTTCTTCAGCTAGTCGTTCCCGATCAGCTTTCGCATCATTAACCGCTTTGGCGATACCCGCGGCACCTCCACCTACTGCTCCAAGTGCTCCTAGAAGTGGGAGTAAAAATGGTAGGAATCCTCCAATTTTAGGCGCTGGAATGATTCTTTGTTTTTTAGTTTTTTTCGTAGGTCGCTTGGCCAATAGATTCAAAGCACCACCTTTTTTCTTCCGTGATACCTTCTTTTTCCGTTTCAGCCCCATACCCATCTTGCTCTTCAATTTCATTGCTCCCGTAACCCCTAATGCTGCGATTTTCTCACCCACACCAGCATCAGATGCCTTGAAACGCTGTGCAGCTACTTCGGCCAGCCGCCTATCAGCAATATTTCTATGTTGTATGTCTTTGAAATTCGAATAAGCTATATCGTGTTGTTTGCAAGCCTCATCTAGTTCGTTAACACCTTTATCGCCTCTTAGTAGTCTTTTTTCAAGTTTAGTCCCAGGTCCACAATAATTATATCCTGGCACATGAAGTTCTATTGGAAGCTTATTAATTAGAGTATTGAGGAGTCCTCGACCTTTCCGTTTTACGCTTCGACAACGACTGACTGAGTTATTTCTTCGTTCCATTTTATAATGTTCAGAACACTGTCGGTTGAATAATAACTGATTTGCTATATGAATTCCTTTATATATAGAACTGAAACATGTTCGGTAGTGTCAGTTCCATGGATGTGCCTGCATAATGAAGATTCAAAAGCAGACATTCTCTCTACCAATCACAAATCATGATGAAATCGCTCACGAGAGTAAATTTAGGAAACACGGAATTTTGTTCGGTGGCCAGTCAAAAAGAGGTTCACTAGTAGGATCTAGCAAATCGGGGAAAACGAATGTAATGATATCCTTAATTGAACATCCAAATGGTCTCCGTTTCGAAAATATTTATTTGTATTCTAAATCACTCCATCAGCCAAAATATTCATATCTGAGGACATTATTGACACCGTTGAAAGAGATAGGCTACATGGAATATAGTGACAAAGGTGATATAATTGCACCAGAGAATATTCGAGATAATTCCATTATAATATTTGACGATGTTCCTAGCTGTGACCAAGATTTGATGAAAAGTTACTTTTGCTTTGGACGACATAGAAACACAGATTGTTTCTATTTGTGTCAAACTTACTCTGCCGTTTGCAAACAATTTATTAGAGATAATTCTAACTTGATTATTGTCTTTCAACAAGACATGACCAATTTGAAACACATTTATGATGACCATGTGAATATTGATATGTCCTTTCAACAATTTAAAGGACTTTGCGCACTCTGTTGGGGCGAAAAATTCGGATTTCTTGTTATCGATAAAGATTCTCCATTGAGCTCGGGTAGATACCGCGAAGGGTTCGATGAGTTCATTCATATATAAATGGAATCATTTTCGAATCATGTTAATTCATGATGAATAACCGCACGGTAGCGGAGCTATTGAAAACACGGAAGGCTTTGAAAAAAAAATATAGAACCTTGAAAGGCGATATTGTGAAATCTCAATCTGATTTAGAGAAAACCTATCAGCCTATTACGCAACCTCTCAAAGAATTACTCGCAACCATTGGCAAATCTGATCAAGGAACGTTTGTAAAAAATGAGCCGAAACGTGAATTTAAAGAAGAGTATTACCATACGGCACCAACTATGGATTTGGGAGATGAAGAAACATTTCTACATGACCCCTCATTAGTAAGACCAGAATATGGGGAAAGTTTCTTTGAAGAAACAATACCACCTGGATTGGATTCAATGGCGCAACATGAGAGATATTTAGAACAATTCAATTCTCCACTACCTAGGGCATATATTGACGATAAAATACTGGATACTGAAAATGCTTTTGATGATACTTTTGGTGTTTATTTTGATCCGTTCACAAAGAAATATGCTATTGGTGATTCTACAATAGATTTTGATGGCCCTGATTTCATTATAAATGGTACTTTGAAATATAAGGGTACTCCTGGATTATATGAGCTCATGTTCAAAAAATATCCTACTGGTATGAAAAACAGTGATATAGATCAGTATATTGATATAGTTCGAAGAACCAAC